TACAGCTTACCTTCAGTCAAATGGTGAAAAGTCTTATGCTGTGGGGGCAACCAGAAGCCTTGCTGAGCAAAAGCTCATCCACTTTCTAAAAACATTTGAGAGGCGCAAGGAGAGGTGTGGGCGGGTGGTGTGGTACCAATGGGCACCATGTCTGGGACCCCTTCCCTCTTGCATGTGATGACCCTGGGAGAGCACCATAAGGCAGTGCTTGTGGTTGCCATTTTGAGGGTGCTGTTGTACAAAGAAAGGGATTTAATTGATTAGAGGAGAATCAAGGTAGGACCATGCGACTCTCTTCTGTCCCCGAGAAGCGACGGATTCGGTGCATGGGGTTAGTTGTGCAGCTGCAAGCGCGACCCACCCTTGGCGTGGCACGCATGGAAGGAACGCGGCCCGTGGGTCCCAATGCACACAGACTTCCAGAAGTGTGCTAGATGGACCAGATGAATCCAAAGAAGCAGGAAACTGAAACAGAGTCTTTTAAATGACTCTGTCCCGGAAGTATCGATGAACGTAGCCATGTTTTCACAATCAGCGATAAAGCTACGTCAGGAAAACTTCCAATGAGCAATTGTTTTATGCTACACTATGCTCTCTATAGGAGCTGCGGTGGCTCAAGGGGTTAAGATGCTGAACTGCAGGCCGGAAGGTCGGTAGTTCAGCAGTTTGAGACCCGAGTGCCGCATGATGGAGTGAGCTCCCGTCTCCGGTCCCAATGCACACAGACTTCCAGATGTGTGCTAGATGGACCAGATGAATCCAAAGAAGCAGGAAACTGAAACACACACACACACACACCGAGATTAAGGCTTTATAAGGGTTTTTTTTGCACAGGAGATTTTTGATGGTTTTTATTGAGGATTAAATAGGTTCGGATTAAAAACCGAATGAAACCACACAGACACACACACACACACACTCGCACAGACAAAAAGGTGGGGAAAGGTGCCTCTTTACCCGCTCTCCTGTCTCGCCGGTACGAGCCCTTTTCCATTTAACAAATCCCAAACAGAATTTACATCAGTCCGGATGCAGTTTATGCTAATATCACTTGGTCGAACAGTTTCTACGGAGACTGAAATAAGTTTCCCAGCTGCCTCTCGCAGCAGAGAGGCGGCGGCTGTGATCAAACCCTGAGTGTTTTGTTGTATGGTTCTGGTTATTATTTAAGAGAACGGAAACAATTTTGTTTGAATCTCAAAGGGACATTAGAAACTTTGCCCATACTTCTCCAGATCCTACATTTGCAGTGTCTCAAGTAAATACATATATATAACTCATTCCCTTTTTGCTAATGTAACTAAAGGCCGTGGTTTGCGCCCTCTAAGCTGTGGAGTCCTGTGAGCAAAGATTCTGCTCTGTGAGCTACTGGCCTTAAAGTTGTGAGCGAGCGGTTTGGCCGCTGCATCAGCTAGCTTGCTCTGGAGCCCTCCTTCCCGAGCTAAGGCAAAAATGTGCGAGCCAGAGGCTAAAAAACTGTGAGCTGGCTCACGCTAACTCAGCTTAGAGGGAACACTAGTTCCTCTGTGTCGTGCTGAGATTAAGGGGACAGTAAATAGTTGCAGCCCTGACTTGGACAGCCCAGGCTGGCCTGACCCTAAGTCCTGGTTAGTCCTTGGATGGGAGACTGCCAAGGAAGCCGAAGGTCGCTACGCAGAGGCAGGCTGTGGCAGACCTCCTCTGATCGGCTCTTGCCTTGGAAACTCCACAGGGTCACCGTAAGTCCGCCACAATTTGACGGGCATTTCCCAGCACCAACAAGTGAGAGATTGAAGAAGATACATACAGTTTCCTCTTTGAAACAACCATGCTTTTGAAATGATTCGATGACCAAGGCTAGACGAGACTTTAGTTTCTTTGCGTCTCACTTATTGTTTGGAACCAGGTCCTGTCGGATCAAAACCCAACTCCTACAGCGTCCGCGGTATTCCTAAAGAGATTTCCGACAGCTGGCAAATGCTCTTTTCCTAGTGGTAGTGAATGATCTGCCTATAACTGCTGTCTAGGCATAGCTACAGTTTTGTTTCGGACGTGGATCTTGCTATCTGCACAGCCTTCGAAGTTCACCTGGATTGACACCACTACGAATCTTATTGGTTCTGGAAACAGGAGGCTGAGCTTGTGTCCAAGATTACAGAAAGGGTTGCCAAACTCCGAGTGGAGTCCGGAGATCTCTTGGAATTACATCTTACCAAGCAGATGACAGAGATCAGTTCCCCTGGAGAAAATGGCTGCTCTGGAAGGTGGACTCTATGCCATTATATCCCACTGAAGTCCCTCCCCTTCCCAAGCCCCACCCCCAGAATCTCCAGGTATTTCCCAACCCGGAGCTGGCCACCGTACTTACAGAGGTTTGGCAACTAAATGCACAAAGCCCAGGGAACTTTGTCCCCCTGTAAGGGTAGTAAACCAGTCCTTCCTTTCTGTATCCAGTCATAAATCCACACCAACTGGTTTTACTTAGCTCGTTTTGCAGTTGCGCAAAGCGGGAAGTCATCCTCTAAAGGTGGACTTTGGAACCGATGCCCATAAAATACTGAAATATCTAACGTTTTGACCTTTGTTTGCATGGTAGAAGGCAATACAGTACAGAGAGTGTCTGGTACTTGGAACAATATTTGCATGTACCTAAAAGCTAATGGTATATCGACAAACATATTAATTTTTTTGTCCCCGACAGTAAATATACAGTACGTTTGTTGTTGTTGTTTTTAAAAAAGGAACAAGCTGGCAAAACGGAATCACTGCAAAGCAAGAAAAAAACTCGGTGAAGACATTTTTGGAATGTAGAGGGGAGTGAACAGCAGTGTGTGTGTGGGGGGGGGGAGTTACAGAGTCCGCTTTACTGTGCTACAGTTGACTGCATTTATCACTTACAGTAATTCTCTTTTTTTTTTTTGAAAAATGGAACGCGATCCTAAAGAAAAAGCACCTGAATCATTAATATGCAGTACCTGAACCTGGCCAACAGCAACGAGGCCTGTAAACTCTCTCAACGTTCCCCGTCACCAAATTTGGGGAGACCCATTTCCTAGGTAAGGCATCTCTGAAGTTACTAGAGTTTCCAACTCTGGGTTAGGGAAGGTCCTGGAGATTTGAGAGTGAAGCCTGTGGAGTGGGTGCTTACGGAAGGGGTGGATGTCAGCAGGGTACAATGCCCCAGAGTCCGCCCTCTGAAGCAACCGTTTTCTCCAGGCGGAACTGATCCCTGGAGTCTGGAGATCAGTTGTAATTCTGGGAGATCTCCAGGCCCCACCTGGAGGTTGGCAACACTAGAAGTTACACATTCCTGCTCCAGAAAGAGCCACAGGCAAGGCATAACTGGGTGGCCCAGATTGCAGATGCCGCATCCCCCCCCCCCTTGCATCAAAAGATGCACCCTTCCACTTCGGTGAGCCCAGACGTGGACGTCGAGTAACATCTGGATCAGCAAGGCATGGGGAAGGCAGCTCATGTGCAGGGTTCTGGCTCGCTGCATTGGGTTGATGCTTGTTTTTGAAACGGCCACCGGTCCTTTTGAAGGTAGTCTTACCATATCAAGCAACCAGCACCACACCGCCCCTCTGCAGATGGGGATCAGTTCTCCTATGTGCCCCGCCCCCACAGGCCTAGATGCGATAGACAAGTCTTGTGGCAGAACGAGAGGCCCGCTTTGACAGCCCGGAAGATGAGAGACCACATCTAAGAACCCCCTGGGCTGGGACGGAAGTTCTCACGTCCAGAAAGCACATCGCTAACGACATGGGTGAAACATGAAGTGCCGTCCATCTAAACACCATTTTTGTAACACTTTCTAGATGTGGGTTTTGCTCTCTCTCTTTTCCCCCAGTAAGAAACCTATTTCCTGATTTACAACTACTTGGGTTTCGTTTTTACAGCTTAACTCTAGTTGCAATAGCGAACAGATACTTTCTTCTCGGGAACTGTGTGTTCGGCTTACCCCGAATCCAGCGGCTTTTAGGGCAGAGAAGTACCTCGAAAAAGTTCCGACGAATTCAGACCTAACAGTCCCCCCCCCTCCCTCAGTTTCATTTGTTTTTGTTTTTAAGTCAAAGCTGTTCAAGTCGACAAAGTTCTGCACACCTTTCAGTGTGGAGACTTGGGGAGGCAGGGAAGCAATCCTCCAGGAAGTTCTTCCGGGAAAGCCCCATCTGTTTCAGTGGGGCGGGTACAGCCAAGATTCCAGGAGAGTGGGAAGTTGTAATGCCTCGAAAGCAGGGTCCGACCGTTGTGTATTTTAAATAAACTGTTATTCAGTGTAAATATATTTTCCTCAAAAAATTTTTTTAAAAAAACACGATTAAGGCATTTCATTATTTTTTTAAAAAGAAAAACTTTCCATCCTACCCCCCAACATGTTTTCGTTTTAACCAGAAACTTTGTAGACAGACTCGTTTGCAACAGGAAGCTGATGTGATAGGAATCATCTCGATATGAAACGGCATTCGGCGGTTCTGAAACGTGGAATGGAATGGCCTTGGGAAGGTCCGGTTCTTTTCTCCCCACCGGTACATTTGTGTCAAACCTTGAAACCAAATTGTTAGGAGCACAAAAGTCCGGGACAGTTTTCCTCCTCGGTGTGTGTGTGTGAAAAGGGAAAAAAAGAAAGATGTTTTTTGAGTGCAAATCGGTTTAGCGAGTGAGACTGTAGGCAGGTGAGTCTTCATTGTACTTAAGGCGTTACATAAATACGTATCCCTGAGAAAGATGAGAGGAGGAGGAAGAGGGAAAAACCCGACCCGGTTGCATGGAACCGCGCAGGCATTCTTGTTGTGCAATCTTGACAAAAATTGCTTTGATACCTGAGCAAAAGTCTTTTTTTGTTTTTAAAAAATTATAAACGGCCAACAGGAATATCTTGCTAAGGCTTCAGAGGAGGGCAAAATCCTCCACCCCCCCCAAAAATATATATATTGACCCAGCGCAAGTTGCTGATGGAGAAGACATATGAGTTTAGTTCCTTTTTTCTCCTTGGTCAAAGGCATCGTAGAATGGCGGACTATGCGCAATATTTTGAAAAAATGAAGCAAAAGAGTTTTTAAAAAGCAGTGTGCGATGCAAATGAAAAACTCCAAAATACATATATTTATATATAAACATAAGACCAAAGTGCTGGTTTCCAGTGCAGGCAGGTCTATGGGGAGCTCGCGGGACTGGTGGTGGGGCTGGAGGCGTCGGAGCGGCTGTAGTCACTGACGGAGCCCGTCCGGGAGCTGCTCCCGCTCCTCCTCTTGAGCATGCTCGGGTTGAAGTTGGCATGCCGGCGGGCGTGCTTCGTCAGGTGGTCACTACGCATGAAGCGCTTCTCGCAGAGGGGGCAGCCGAACTTCTTCTCCCCGGTGTGAGTGCGGTAGTGCCGGGCCAGCTCGTCGGAGCGGGCGAACTTCTTGTTGCACTCTTCCCAGTTGCATTCGAAAGGCTTCTCGCCTACAGAGACAGAGAGACAGAAATTAGGTACCGTGAAGGCCGAGCAGAAATAATGTTGCCGTTTTTGCACAGGCTAAATAATGCCGTTTCAGTCGACTTCATTGACCATTGGCAAGTGGATTTTGCCATTTCAAACAGTAAAATCCAGTTGCAAAGTGCATTGAAAGTGGCTCGAAAGTGCGGTATTTTATTAGGTACCGCAAAGTCCGAGCAGAAACAATTTGGGCACTTTCGCACACGGTTATAGAATGCAATTTCAATCCACTTCAGCGACCATTGGCAAGTGGATTTTGCCATTTCACACACTAAAATCCAGTTGCAAAAGTGCATTGAAAGTGGATCGAAAGCGCGCTATTTTATTAGGTACTGAGGAGGCCGAGCAGAAACAATTTGGGCACTTTCGCACACGGTTATAGAATGCAATTTCAATCCACTTCAGCGACCATTGGCAAGTGGATTTTGCTGTTTCACACAGTAAAATCCAATTGCAAAGTGGATTGAAAGTGCGGTATTTTATTTTCATTATTTTATTTATTTATTAAAGTGGATTTGCTAGGCCGCCCTTCCCAACAAGTCGGGCTCAGGGCAGCTTACAACAAAATAACATACAAAATTCTCAAAATTAAAACCACTGAACAGACATTGACAGATGAAAACAGTAAACATATACAAGATGGTTGGAGAAAAAAATTCAGCACCCCAGCCTCCCCGTGGGGAGGGGTTATGAAGGATGGGGAGGTTATATCGTATGTGTGTGTGTGAAAGCACCAAAAATAATAATATACAATGCACCTACAATACAAATTTAAAAACATAGACCTTGAATTTGGCCTCTAGATCGAAAGCCACCAGACTAAGGCCCCGGTCACACGAACAGTTTTGGGCCGGGAGAAGGACGGATCGGGGGTGGAGCAAACCAGTGTGATCCCACCGCAACATCTGGGAAACGTCCTGCTACCGTCCCCGATCCGGCCCTTCCGGGTAAAACACCGCATCAAAAAGGAACCACCTACTGAGGTGGTTCATCCGTCAACAGCGCATCAAAGCTGGCCGTGGGATCGCCGGCGCGTCTTTCCACCAGCGCATCCCCGGCTCCTAGCCGAACTGCGCATGCTCAGACATGCGCAGTTCGTCAGCCTCCCCGTCCGGACTGTGTCTTCTCCCCGGCATCTGATCGTGCCGGGGAGCAACGGCGCCGCGGCTCAGAGGATCCGTGGGATCCCACCGCGGCGTCTCTATTTTAATGCGGCTCTGATTTGCCGCACTTTGCCGGGGTTTTTCTCTGCCATGTGGCAGGGGCCTAAGTAGGCCCCAGAGTACAATATGTGAGGATATCCCAAAGTTGATGGTGTACAAACAGCACCACAATCACAGGAGGGATGCCGGGCTCCAGGTGGGACCTGGGGATCCCCCGGAATTACAGTTTATCTCCGGGCTACAGAGTTTGTTTCCCCTAGAGAAAATGGATGCTCTGGAGGGTGGACTCTGTGGCACTGAACCCCCCCTCTGAGGCCCCTCCCACAAACCCTGCCCTCCCTAGGGGTGCCAGCCTGCAGGTGGGACCTGGGGATCCCCCGGAATTACAGCTCATCCCCCCCTCCCTTTTTAAAATAATTTATATTCAGTTTTCCACTTTCAACAACAAATATAACAAACATTATAAAAGATAAGTAGACTGTTAGATAGCCCTTAGAAAAAGAAAAAGAAACATTCTGTTCAGTACAGACATAGAACTGACATATTAATCAACATTTACCACAGGTGAAGAGTGTTTATTACACCTGGTATTACTTCTTGAGAAACTGGGTAGGATAAAATAGGTAGCCATATGCTAGTAAGTCTGCTATACCCGTCATTAACCTTTGTTGGGTTCATTATGTCATTTTTTCCATTATGTATAACACTATCCAAAACAGGTTTGTGGATTTTGTACAATTATAGTGTTTGTGGGGCTTCTTTAAAGTCACAACAGTCCTTGCATTAAAACCATAGATCAGTCCCTGTCCCTGAATACGTATATATTCCCTATTAGCTGACAGCTCATCAAGTTATTCAGTATCTCGCCCTCATCTGGCAAGTCCGATCTCATCAGATCTCGGAAGCTAAGCAGGGCCGACCCTGGCAAGTACTTGGATGGGAGACCTCCGAGGAATACCAGAGGTGGGAGATGGGGGCAGGCTTTGTTCAGCCACCTCTGTGGATATCCTCCAGGCCCCCAGTAGGGGGTCAGTCGCCAGAGTTCGCCATGACTTCCACGTGCACGCGCACACATATAAAAAACCCCAAAAGATATTCAGTATCTCTTGGCTTCCAGGGTTCATGGACCCACCCATCCCAACTTTCTCTGGAGGGAAAAAACAGGTAGCAAATACAACCAGTGCAATCCATGCCTCCTGAGCAGCAGTGCAGGTTTAGGAAGAAAGACAAATGAGACGGCGCAGTAAGGTTGTCAGCCACCAACCCCCACACACACACACTCCTGAATTATGTCACATGGGTTCCCATTAATATAACGAGCACCTTCGGGTTTTTAATCCAATCAGACCACGGGAGCAGAGGTGCCACGTCAAATTTTAATAATGCTTAATGGCTGAGGCAAGCATCTCGGTCAAGCTGCTGGCGACTTCTCTCACCCCGGCCGATGCACGGGCGATTGAATTAATGAATAGCCGGAGCTACTCCCACGTGGCCGCAGAGCTCCCACGTCCTTCCTCGCTGGAGCGTTCAGTTGCGGCGTTCCCTCCTCCTCTCCACGAACTCAAGAATACCTCACTCTGGTGTAAAAAAACCCCGAGAAATGGCGGAAGCATATATGTTAGCCTTCTTTATTGCTGAGTTTTGTTGCGCAGACCCAGTTGCGTTATACTGGAAGTGCAAACCAAAGTATCTCAAAATCTTTGACTTGTTCAGTTGGTTTGCCTCCCACTGCCCATTTGAATAGTTTCCAAGTTTTGGGAAAGACGAGTATTTTTGATTTTTCATGATTTAGAAGTAGTTTATTTGTCTTTTAAATGACTCTGTCCTGGAAATATCGATGAACGTAGCCATGTTTTCACCAGCGATAAAGCTACGTCAGGAAAACTTCCAATGAGCAATTGTTTTATGCTACACTATGCTCTCTATAGGAGCTGTGGTGGCTCAAGGGGTTAAGATGCTGAACGGAAGGTCGGTAGTTCAGCAGTTCGAGACCCGAGTGCCACGTGATGGAGTGAGCTCCCATCTCTGGCCCCAGCTCCTGCCAACCTAGAAGGTCGAAAGCAAGAAATGGCAAGGAGATAAATAGGTACCGCTTCGGTGGGAAGGTCACAGCGTTCCGTGCGCCTCGGCGTTCAGTCATGCCGGCCACATGACCACGGAAACATCTTCGGACAGCGCTGGCTCTTCGGCTTGGAAACGGAGATGAGCACCGCCCCCTAGAGTCGGTGAGCTAGCTCACACTCCCAGTGGCCCTGGTAACAGCAAATTTGATATTCCTGGGGCCTGGGATTACCAGGAGATTTTGACTCCCCGACTGTAGTGCCCTTGGGGGAACATGCGGGGAAAGGCGGTCCCTTAGGTAGACCGGACCCTGGACTTTGTATTTTTCTCTACGATGGAATATGTTGTCTGTCTTTATTACCAGACACTAAATATGTTACGGCTTTAATGTAGTCTCATTTGTTGTTATATTGTTCTGTGGGCATCTAGCACACGCTTGTATATATTTTTCACACCTGACTGTTTTGGGACTGTGTGTTATTCCTTTGGATTGAACACTTAGGCCTTGCCAGTCATTTACTCAGGAAACGATTGGGTAGGGCATTTCCTAGAGCGCGGGCACATGGACATTCGAATACACATAATGCGTGTGAGACCGTGCCCTTGTAGACAAAGCGACATGACATTTAGGCGCCTCTCAGCTCTGCACAAACAACCTACTGGGGAGCGTCTGAATTGGGAGGGGTCTTTTCTCACTGCCGCACCAGCACCAGGCAGGGAGATGCGCTGGTTGTCTCTCGAATCAGGGTGGGGAGGGGATGTGGTTTTCTGCGCAGGTGAGATTAAACGAAGCGCCCCGTGGCTGGCAGGAAAGAGAGCGATCGAGAGGAACGGACATCATAACAACACGTTCGTTGGGTCATATTTCTTTGGGAACCAGCAATGTGGGAACAGCCTGTGCCGCAAAGCGGCTGCACTGGGGGGCAGAGTTCACAATGCAGAACTTGTGTGGATAGTCTGGAGCCAGTTTGGTGTAGTGGTTAAGAGCAGGAGACTCTAATCTGGGAGAACCGGGTTTGATTCCCCACTCCTCCACGTGCAGCTGCTGGTGTGACCTTGGGCAAGCCATAGTTCTATCAGAGCTGTTCTTGAAAGAGCCGTTTCTGTCAGAGTTCTCTCAGCCCCTCCTACCTCACAGGGGTGTCTGTTGTGGGGAGGGGAAGTGAAAGGAGATTGTAAGCCGCTCTGGGACTCTGAGTGAAGGGCAGGGTTTAAATCCAATCTCCTCCTCCTCCTCCTTCTCTTTCGAACAGTGGGCACGCCATATTTTGCAGCCAGAGGAATGGAGTTCATTTTGTAGGCCTAAGATTTATTGATAGACAGCATGTTCCCTAGAGGAATGGCAGCAAATATGTGGGAACCACGGCAAGGCAGAGGTCTTCCACATCACCCAATGCTTGGTCCTTTACACTGGAGATGCTGGGGATTGAACCTGGGACCTTCTGCATGCCAAGCAGAGGCCCTTCCACTGAGCCACGGCCCCTCTTTACAGCTCTCCAGGGTGTCAGGCGGAGGTCTTTCACATCACCCAATGCTTGGTCCTTTACACTGGAGATGCTGGGGATTGAACCTGGGACCTTCTGCATGCCAGGCAGAGGCCCACTGAGCTACGGCCCCTCCCCTATAAAACATGAACACATGAAGCTGCCCTCTACTGAATCAGACTGGTCAGTCTTGTCCAGTGTTCCCTCTAAGCTGAGTTAGTGTGTTAGCTCACAGTTTTTTAGCCTCCAGCTCATACA